CTCCTCCTCCTCCTCCTCCTCCTCCTCCTCCTCCTCCTCCTCCTCCTCCTCCTGCTCCTCCCTCTCCTCCTCCTCCCTCTCCTGGAACATCGGCCCATCACCCTCGGGCTCTCGGCCCGACGGGCTGCTGAACCTGCGCGACCTCGCCTCGGGGTCCCTGTGGCTCGCAGCGTGCGCCCGGGCGCGCCGCGCAGCGGAGCGGGCGATTGCCTCCGCGGACGCGGCTGGCGCGGAGGCCGAGCTGGTGCGCCTGGGGGAGCTCGTGAAGTTCGGGGCGGTGCTGTCGAGGCTCGGGCGAAGTCTCAAGCAGTGGCGAAACGTCCTGGCGTGCCTAAAGGACTACCAAGCAATGTTTTAAGAGCCTTTTGTGGTTTACACAAAATGTTAGAGCATTTCTGGCTGGGACTCTCTTGTTAAGACTCATCAGGTTTATGCTCTAAGAGCATTGTTTTGTTCTTCGAACATTTTTGGGTTCTCAGAAATGTGGTAGGCCTATAGGAATCCGGGACGGTCGGTCCCTGCTCAAAAGTCGGGCACGTCCCTCGAGAGGAGGAATGGACTCCAGAGCAGGAACCGCAAATCGTCTGGTGACGGATTCTTCGTGTCCCGTGGGCCATCCTGGATTCTGTTTTGGCTACGTTTTCTCATGTTTCTGCCAAGATGCGCCTGTAGGAGGGCGTGCCCGGCCCCAGGCTCGGGGCGGTCCGGCCCGCCTCGCTCCGCGGCCGCTGGCTGGCCCTCGCCGACGGGTGGCACGACGCCGCGCTGAGGCGGGGCATCGACGCGGGCCTGCTGGAGCCCGGGCGCACGCGCGGCATCCCCTCGCGGGCCTTCCTGCAGGTCCGCATCGAGGCCTCGACCGCCGAGCTGCAGCACCGAGAGGCCGAGCAGCGCGAGCAGCTGAACGCGGCCCTGCAGAAGGTCGGCGGGCGGGGAGCACGGGGCCGCGTCCACGGCCTCTCGCGGGCCGGGACCCGCGGCCGCGGGCCCGTGGAGGTGCGGGGCGCTCCGTCGCGGACGCCCCGCGCGGAGTGCATATCCGCGCGGCCGCACAGCCACGGGGTCGCAGGCCGCGGGGGTGTGGATGCGGATGCGCTCGCCGCTCGTGGGAAGGGGCTCGGGGGCACGGGCCACCTGGACTTGAACGACGCCGACCTGGTGGGCCTCACCGACGGCATGAAGTCGATCTGGGCCAGCACCCTCGGGTCCGGCGCCGTCTGGCGCAGGGCCACGTACAAGGTCCCTGTCGGGCGGGACGCGATGACCAAGATCACAGGCTTCTGCCACAACTCCACCACCCGTGAGAGAATTTTCGAGGCGTACTTCCAGGGCTTCGGGCCCGAAGTCGACGCCAAGGTGCTCGAGCTCCTGCGCACGCGGCGCGAGCTGGCGGTGCGGCTGGGCTTCCGGACGTGGGCCGAGAAGGAGCTGCGGCCGCTGGCGGTGCGCGACCCCGCCGGGGCCCACGCTCTCATGGACCGCTGCTGGGCGGATGCCCGGCCCAGGCTGTCGCTGCTGGTGCGGAGGATGGAGGACCTCGCGGCGGCCACCTCCCGCGAGCGCGAGGGCCCCTCGGCGCGGGGCCCGGCCGCGGGCGCCGCGCTGTCGCGGCTGGCGCACGCAGACGAGGCCTTCTTCCGAGCCCTCGTCACCCGCGAGGCGGACACCTGGAAGCTGGCGGAGTTCCTGCCGGCCTCGAAGTGCCTGCCGCGCGTGCTGGACATGGTCGGCCGTGCGTGCAACGTGCAGTTCCAGGAGGTGGATGCTCCGACCATGGCCGGGCGGCTGGCGAGCGGCTGGCACAAGTCCGTGGTCATCTACGAGGTGCGGGACGGCGTCAGTGGTGCTGGAGGCGCCCCCGGGCGCCACGGCTCCCTGGGGTTCATCTACCTGGACCTGTACCAGCGCACGAGCCTGCTGGGGCGCCCGGCAGTGGCACTGGCCGGCGCGCTGATGCTCTGCAGGGGCCATGCTTATCTGAGCATGAACATGCCGGAGCCCGGGCTCGGCCACCGCAAGCTGCTCAATCCGGAGGAGGTGGTGGCCATGGCGCACGAGCTGGGGCACGCGGTCCACATGCTGTGCTACGGCGGCCGGCCCCAGGAGTTCGACGACCTGCCGCTGGACGTGAAGGAGCTCCCCTCGACCCTGGCGGAGACGATCGCCCTGCAGCCAGGGGCCATCATGCAGTACGCCCGCCACTTCTCTTCCGAGGGCCCTCCGCCCGACGCGCTGGTGCGCTCCAGCCAGCGGGACATATCCTTTTTCGTGCGCTACCTGCAGAGTACCCACGTCGCTCTCGGGCTCCACGGCGAGAGCCTCGACCCGCGTGAGATGACGCCCGCCGACGTGCGCCGGGAGGCAGTGGCGCTCTGGCAGCGGTACTCCGCGGTGGCCGCGCACCCGAGCTTCACGCCCTTCGGCGAGGATAGGGCAACGAAGAATGACATGAACATAAAAACTCGGAGGTCCGCGCGGATTTCTCGGATCCGCGCTGGACTCCCCTTGGCGGCGCCTCCGGCGCCGCCCCTGGCGAGCTCCGCGCGCCAGGGAGGGGGGTCCAGCGCCGATCCGAGAAATCCGCGCGGAACTCCGAGTTGTTATGCTCATGTCCTTCTTCGTTCCCCTAGAGGACGCGGGCCTCTACATGGGGCAGGGCGCGAACCAGATCGCGTACCTGCTGTGCCACCTGCGGGTGGACGCCATCCTCCACGCGCAGCAGGGCCACGCGGCCCCGGGCGCCGCGGCGGCGCCGGCGCGGGCCAGGGGCGCCAGCGCCAGGTGGCCGACGCGGTAAAGCGGGGTCGTCTTCGCCGACGGTGGCGCGCAGGCTTCCCGCGCGAGAGGTCGCGCGCCGGCGCCCTTATCGTCACCGCGGTGGCGTGCGGCGCTGGCGGCCCGCGTGAGCTGCGGCGCAGGAGGTCGCCACGCCCGCGTACGGCCCGTGCCTCTTTTGGTCGCCCAGGTGGCTGAGCGCCGGCTTCGCGGGGCGCATCCGCGCCCAGCTGCTCGACCCCGCCTTCCGCGGGCAGCACCACGCCCCGGGAGGCCCCTGCCGCCTGCGGGCCCTGCGCGTGCGGGCCGGGCCCAGCGCTGAGGTCCTGGCGCCGCGCCTTTTTCGCGCACCGGGCGTGTCGCCGCCCGTGTTCCGGGCCCGGGGCCATCTCACATCGATCCGGGTCGGAGAATGGCGCACACAGATTGGGTTGACAGGGCTCGGGGCTCCAGTCCTGATCGGATTGCCGATGCTTCGATCTTTTCGGCGGCGGCGGATCTCAGGGAGCTCGGAGGCCCAGATGGGGTTGACACCAGCACCAACATCGGCGGTGGGCCTCCGCCGAGGGAAGATGCTCCCGATCTCGGTGATGGCGGCAATACTCTGGCTTCCCAGGTGGCCGAAGTACGACCGCCAGCACCAAAATTCGGAAGCCTTTTCCCCTGGTAAGGAGGCAACCGCTCCCCCTCTTCCCCGCCGGCCAGCCCACCCCCGCAGGCGCGGGCCGCCCCCCTCTTCCCGCCCCCGCCCGCCCCCGCCCCAGCACGCGCGCCTGAACCAGCGGGGTCTGGTGGCTCACGCCCCGCGGCCGTGCTTCCCCCGCTCCCCCCCACTTGCTGCGCATGTCCGAGCCTCGGAGCCACGTCCCAGAAATAACTTTGGAGCACCCGGAAAAGCATCGGAACAGTGTCGAACGAGTATCGCCTCCCGAGGCCCGCCACTTGAACACCTTCCAGTTTCGGTACTGTCTTGGCGCTCGAAGTTCTTGTGACCAAGGCTATAAAGTAGGTTGGAGCATCGTCCCTGAGACCCAACGTTGCAAAAAAATGCAACGTCGCAAAAAAAAAAAACACGCCCGGACCCCCCCGGACCCCACCGTTCTGCGCCACGTGCCGAAGCCGCATCGATCTGTGAGGGCCCCGGGGCTCGAGAGGGAACGAGAAAAAAAGCGCCCAGCGCAAACAAAAAAAAGAAATGGAGCCGCCAGGATCGCAGGGGGACAGCGCTGGGGCGCGGGCCCCCCCCTCCTGCCGGGATGCCCCCTCGGCGAGCTCCAAAGGGGGGAGGGCCTCGCCCCCGCGGCGCGCTCCTCGCCCTCGGCGGCAGCCGGGGGGGGGGGGGCGGCGGGCGGAGGCCTCGGCGGAGCGTCCTCTGGGCGCGGAGGTCTGCCCCTCGTCGAGCCGCGGCGGGGCGTCCCGGCTCGCCGAATTACTATTAGTCAGGAGGGGGAGGCACGCACAGACACACAATTCCTCGTGTCGAGTCCCAGGAAGATGTGGTAACATGTGGGAAGGGGGAAAGACTGGCCACGCGCAGAAGGGGGTAGGGGGAGGGGGGAGGGCTTCTTAGAAGCACCCCTGCTTCTTAGAAGGCGGGGGCCTTCTTTGTTAGATGTAAGGCCGGCGCCTTCTAAGAAGCAGCCTCCTTCTAAGAAGCCTTCCCCCCTCCCCCTACCCCCTTGTGCGCGCCGCCAAAAAGACGAATACCCAGCAAATATGCGGAAATACGGGGAATCCTGAAATCTGTGTCTGCGTATTTGTGTGTGTGTGAGAGTGTGTGTGTGTGTGTGTGTCCCAGGGCCCCTTCACAATAGTCGAATAGCGGGGAGGCGTCCTGGCTCCCACCAGAGAATGCTCCAAGAGCCTCGTATAGTCTGCACGACATGCTCTCGGACCACTTCTGGCCGAGGTTGTCTCGTTTTAACGCGTCGGGCTTGCGTTCTAAGAATATGGTTTTTGTTATTTGAGCACGTCTGGGTTCTCAGAACCTGTCGTGGCAGGCCTACAGAAATGCCGGGGACGGTCGGTCCCTGCTCAATCTATTCGCAATAGTGACACTTCGCCGGAGTGACCTCGTGGTCGTCTTTGACCGATCGCGCGGCGATTCGGAGCCCTCTCGGGCCGTCTCGGCTGTCTCGGCGGCCTCTTGGGGCCTTCTTGGGCCGTCTTGGGACCTTCCTTGGCCGTCTTGGTGCCCTATTGGGGGCTTCTTGGGCCGTGGTGCAGTGGTTTTTGGGCCCTGTTGGGCCGCCTTGGAGCGTCGGAAGCTCTGAAAGGCGATGGCCCCCAAAACATCGAAGAACACACGAGAAATCAATGTATTCCGAACCTTCCTGCGTTGGGTACTCGTTTTGAATAGAGCACTGCGGTCGCACACCTTTTTCTTCTCCCGCCTCCCTCTTCCTCTCATCTCTGCCTCTTACCTGGCTCCTTCCTGCGTGCCAGCTTGCCTCCTACCTGGTCACCCCTGCGGGGCTGCGATCTGCTAAACCGTCGCCACTTTCGAAGGTTGCTGGGGGGTCCAGCGGAGTGTGGCACCACGCAGAGTCAGAATAGACCTCGCCATCCCTGGGGGGCTGCGATCTGCGAAACTGTCGCCACTTCGAAGGTTGCTGGGGGGCCAGCGGAATGAGGCACCACGCAGAGTCAGAATAGACCTCGCCATCCCTGGGGGGCTGCGATCTGCGAAACTGTCGCCACTTTCGAGGACTGCAGGGAGGTCCAGCTGAGTGAGGCACCACCCAGATTCAGATTAGACCTCGACATCCATGGGGGGCTGCGATCTGCGAAATTGCCGCTACTTTCGAGGGCTGCTGGGGTGTCCAGCGGAGTAAAGTCTTTCGCGGACCACCAGGAGACCTCGCCATTCATGGGGTCAAGCGGAGTGACGCCGTTTTCTGTTACCTGGCGGTTGTTTCGATTTCCGGGGTCGTCAGAAAAGGAAGCAAAGAAGTTGGCCGCCGAGCTAGGCTTCGCCCGCTTATTGCACGAACTATCAGCAAGTGTAATTGTTTTTCGAGCGCCGCGGCGACATGGCGCAGGCAGCGCTGCATCTTTAGCGTACTACCGACTGAAGCAACACTCTTCGGTCTCCTCCCGTCACTTTCGTCGTCGTCGTCGTCCTCTGGTCCCTGCCTCCTTCCCTCTGCTGCTGCCGCGCTGACGGTTCGCCCCCCCGCGCGTCCTTTTCCTGCCTTTCGTTCCCGCCCTCATGTCCTCCTCTTGTCTGGTGAATCGTGCCACGCGAGCGCATCCCATATAGCTTGCGCAACATATGTCGGCGCCTTTAATGTCATTGTCCTTGCAAGTTTGGGCCAGCTCATCCTGGCATTTGATGCACATTATTTGGGTGCGGCGTAAGGGAATTTTGGAATGTGAGGCCCTCTTGCGAAGGATTTGGGGGCTCTTTTCGGGCGCCTCCAACGCTTCCTCGGCCGTCTTGGGGCCCTTGTGGGCGTATTTGACCGATCGTGCGGCGATTCGGAGCCCTCTCGGACCGTCTCGGCGGCCTTTTGGGGCCTTTTTGGCCCGTCCTGGTGCGCCCTTCGGCCCGAAAGAGTCACGTGGGAAAACGCCGGGAGCCTTAGACAATTTGTGAACTTGGGGTCCTGGCCCTTTAAATCGGTTGCACGTAAGAGTGACCCTTCGCCGGGGTGACCTTTGGTGCGGGCTCACGGGAGCCCCCCCGATCGCTGAGCACGATGCGATAGTGGCTGCCTGCGTGCTTTCATTTGGCTACTTTGGGCCCTCTTAGTCCGCGCGTTAGAGGTCATTCTTGCCTAGGATTACTCTTGCGCGCAGCCGATTAAAGACTCTTGAGGATTGAGGACTGAGGCAAGGGACCTGAGGATACTCCAACTTGTGCCTCGAGGACACGGTGGCAGCTATGTGCGTCGGCCACGCAAGGGCGACGCGTACGCCCAGAAATCTTACACGTTTCAGCGCTGTGGCTGTCGCCTTCTGGCCACACCGGTCTGGAAACGATATGTTACAATATGGTTGTACTACATGTTCGGGTCGGGCGCACGCCTCCAAGACGCATAGTAATAGTATGTCTTTGCGCGCCCCGTCTATGCCCCCGCACGGTGTCTCCAAAAGTTTTGGCTTGCCGGGGCAGGGCTCACACGTGGTTGCCCACAGGCACGGCCCCTGCGGTGCACCCGCTGCCTCCGCCGCCCACCAGCGCCGCGAGCCTCTTCGCGCACACCGCTCGGCTGGACGGCGCGTGAGGCGGCGGCCGGGGCTGCCACCGCAGGGGCGGTGGCGTCGGCCTCGTCGTCCGTCGGCGTCCGCCGCAGCAGCCGCCGCCGCCGCCGCCACCGCCGCCGTCGTCGTCGTCGTCGTCGTCGTCGTCGTCGTCGTCGTCGCGTCGTCCTCGTCGTCGTCCTCGTCCTCGTCGTCGTCGTTGTCATCGTCGTCGTCGTCGTCGTCGTCGTCCTCGTCATCGTCGTCGGCGGCGTCGTCTGCGTCGGCGTCGGCGTCGGCGTCGGCGTCGGCGTCGTAGCCTTCGGCGTCGTCGGCTCCGCAAACCAGTGCCGCGGATCCTTTCGCGCACACCCCTGACTCCAGATCCGCCGTTCTTTTGGCGATGTCGTAAGCAGGGCGGAAACTGTCCGCCCTTATATTGTCAAACTGCTTTGATGTCGATGTCGGTCCTCTTTTGCCGTCGCTGTTTCAGACATGCCTTTGCGGAAACACCTGCCCTGCTTTTTCCAAGGTGGACATTTCCGCCCTGCTTGTTCGCATCGTTTCGGGTGCATTTCCAACACACACATTCAATATGAACAAGACGCAAGAATCCAGAGTCTGGGGATTCCGGGGAGGATCCAGCTTCGCCGGCGAGGGCCCCTCCCAAGAAGGTCCCAAAGGGGAAGACGGAGGAAGGACAACGGTGTCCGCACGTGCTTCGGCTGATGGACAAATCCTTGCACTTTTTGGGTTGCATGTCCGATACAATTTCAAATCGGAACGTCAGCCAACGTACCGCGTCTCTCAGCGCCCCAGCGCCCAGCTCTCTGGCGCTGTGCCACTCAGCCCTCCCCCGAGGAGGAGGAGGAGGAGGAGGAGAAGGAGGAGGAGAGAGGAGGAGGAGGAGGAGGAGAAAGAGGAGGAGGAGGAGGAGAGGAGGAGGAGAGGAGGAAGAGGGAGGGAGGAGAGGGGGAGGAGGAGGAGGAGGGATGAGGAGGAGGAGGAGAGGAGAGGAGGAGGAGGAGGAGGAGGAGGGAGGAGAGGGGGAGGGAGGAGGAGGAGGAGGAGGAGGAGGGAGGGGGGGAGGAGGAGGGAGGACGAGGAGGAGGGAGGAGCAGGAGGGGAGGAGGGAGGGAGGGAGGGAGGGAGTGAGGGAGGAAGGGAGGGAGGGAGGGAGGGAGGAAGGGAGGGAGGCAGGCAGTGAGGCTGGGAGGAGGGAGGAGGGAACGCGGAGCGGCAACGCAGCGCTGCGCGCTCCGAGCTCCGCACCCCCCCCCCCCTGCCGCGCTCCGCAGGCTCCAGCGCGCTGGCCAGGGGCAACGGTACAAGCGGGGGGGGGGCCTAGGGGGGACACAGTCAAGACGTTGGAACAAGGCAGAGTTTGGGTTGGGAAGAGGCTGGATGTTCCTGGGGTCCTTTCATGGCTATTCCTCCAGCCCTCCTCGTGAACGAAGGCGGCTTTGGGGGCCTAGAAGGGGCTTCGTTCCTTATTGTAGTGGCCTCCGGCCAGTGCCGCCGATCCGGGACGCTTCCGTTGCTGCCGGAAGCGCACGATGGCGGTCATGACCGGCGACGACGGCGAGCGGTGTGATGAGGATTGGGAATGGAAGCGACGGGGTAGGATGAGGAGGAGGAGGCGGAGGACCATGATGAGGTGAAAGGGGGTGGAGGAGGGAGGAAACGGGAAGTGGAAGAGCGGGAAGGGGAGAAGGAGTAACATGACGAGGATGAGGAGATTTTCGGCGGTTGTTGGAGATGTCCGGCGGTTGTTGGAGATGTCCGGCGGTTGTTGGAAAGCCTCTTTGGGGCCAGGTGTTGGCCCTCTTTGGGATGACACCTCGCCGATTTGGCGCGCTCGTGCTAGAGCTGTCTGCGTCACAGTTCTTTGTGGAGCCTTGTGCGTCGACGGTCTCTGCTGGGAACCCTTGTGTTTTCAGGGTCTCTGGGGCCTTCGCGCGGTCCTCTGCGGGCCCACGTGAGATCATGGATGTGAAGGGCGCCGAAGACGGGAGAATCTGTGAAGGCGTGGAAGAACCTTGTGCGTTGCAGCGCTAGTGTTCAGACGTAAGCGTCGCGGAAGCATTGGGGCCGGTCGTGGGCTTCTCGGGGGGGGTCTTGGCTGCAATTTGGAAGCCTTTAGAAGGCGTATTGGATGCATTCTGTGACACTCTTGGGGGCCTTTAAGGGGCTTCAGGAGGCCTCGTCGGGGCCAGTTGGAAGCGTCTTGGGGCCTCTTCGGGCCTCTTCGGGGCTTCTAGGCCCAAGAGGCGAAGATGCAAACATTTGCTACTTTTTCCCTAGGGAATGGGACATTGTTTGCTTCTTTGGGTCTTCTTTGGGGGGCCCTCTCCAGGGCTTCTGAGGGCATCTTGGAGGCTTCTGGAGCCGTCTTGGGAACATCTTGGGCGTCTTGTAGCGATCGTTCGGCGACTCGGGGCCATGTTGGCCCATGTCGGGGCCCTCCTGGGCGACGGGGCCGTCCCGGAGTGAGTTGGGGGGTGATTTCCGATTCCGCCCCGGGAATTAAATGGAACCACCCCCCCTTTACCCCCCGGCAGAGCCACCCCGGCACCCACCCCCCAGAGCTGAAACTCAGGACTTGAGGTTCAGGCTGTTCTGAGGGTTTTCGAAACTCACGCGCTGGATCGGCGGATTTCATCAGTTCGCTCATTCCGCCGGCCCATAGTGTCGCAGCGCTGTCGGCTGGCCAAGTGGTCGTTTGCAGTGTAGGCCTGCGGGGGCGTTTCCCCCCCCCCCCCCCCCTCTTTTCTGAGTCGTTCCGTTCGGAATGATGAATGTTGGGGCTGAAGCAGCTTTCGTGGAGCAGTTTGGGGGCGATTCGTCTGGAGTTTCCGGGGAGTTGTCAGGATATTGTTTTTTGTTTGCACTGGGGTTCTAGGCGTTTGCTGCTTCGGCCGCAAACACTTGGAAATTGCCTCGGAGGACCCTCTGGGGAGTGCTTTGGCAGGGTTCGGCACCATGCAGCCTCAGATCTGCCGTTTGTGTGAGAGCTCGTTGTCAATGCGGCGCTGTTTGGATCTCTCGGCAGGCGCCTGGGGAGCCTTTTGGAGGCAGTTCTGGAGCCTCTTGAGGCGTATTGGGGGCCGTTTGGGGGTTCTTGGGGTTCCGTTTTGGGATTATTGGGGGCTTCTTGGAGGCTTCTTGGGAACCCGCTCGCGGTCTCGGAGGCGTCCTTGGAGCGGAAAGTTCGACATGTCATTTGGAGTTCTCTCTGTTGGGGCCGTCTTGGGGGATCCTTCCCGCCTCTTGGGGCGTTTTGGGGCTTTCTGGGGCTGTCTTGGGGCTCTCTTGGGCTTATCTCGGAGGCCTGTTGGGCCCCCTTGGGGCGATCTTGGGGGCGCTTGGGCAGTCTTGCGCGCTTCGAAACACCAAAACTTGTAGATGCGAAAAATGCACGTTTTCCTACGGGAATGGCGCAATGTTTGCTCCGTGGGACCTTCTGGGAGGGCGTCTTGAGACTCTCTTGGGGCTTCTTGGCGGCCTCCAGGGTTGTCTGAGGGCTATGTTTGGCGTCTTGGAACTCTCTTTCAGCGATTCGGAGCCTTCTTGGACCGTCTCCGGGGCGTCTCGGAGCCCTTTCGGCGCGCTCCCAGGACCTCCCGGGGACCTGTCGGGGGTTGGTCGGGGTACTTTTCGTCCAGGAGCCCCCAGGAGCCGCCCCGCGCGCGCGAACTAGAAATAGCGTTATACTGTTATGTTAGCCAGTGACCGGAGATCTTAGCACGCCTCTGGCCCGTTGGGCCGGCGAATTCAGCGTTCCTTAGTTCGGCGGCCCGTCTGTAGGCAACGATCGTCAAAGGAACCCAAAAAAGAGAAGTGCCGTTACCGCTACCCTTGCCTCGCTCTTTCCCTTGTCGGGGCCTCCTGGGAGGCCTTCGTCGCCGCTGCTGGGTTCGCTTCGAAATTTTGGTCAGAACGCCCTCCCCAGGAGAGCGGTATCCCTCTTGGTTTCCCAGGCTTGGGGGGGAGGCTCGGGGGAGGATGCGTCGACCCCCATGCGCCCATCGATCGCCGCTAGGGGTCTGAGGGCCCCAGCCCGCCCAGGAAAGTGCGGTTTCGCTCTCGGGGGCCTATCGCCGATATATAATAATATATATATATATATATATATATATATATATATAATATATATATATATATATATCTTCCTATATATTTCCTATAATTTTTACAGGGCCGGGGACCCCGGAAAAGCGGCACACGGTGCCCCCCCCCAAAAAAAAAACGAATTTCGGCCTCCCCGAGCCTTTGGGGCGCTCCTGCAGAGTGCTCCGTGTCTGTCCTGCGAGTGCGACGCGAAAAAAAAAAAACACGACGGCCAAAGAGGGCCCCGAGACACCCAAAGATCGGCCCAAGACGCCCAATCTGGGCCCAAGACTGCCCAAGACGCGTCCAAGACGCCCCCAGAGACCCCCAAGAGGCCTCCCAAGAGAGCCCCGAGAGGCTACAGTTGTTCATTTTCCTGTGTGTTTTTCGATGTGTTTGGCCTTCTCGCTTTTCCCGCTTCCCGACGCTCCACCATGGCCCAAGAGGCCCCCTAGATCGCCCCAGTACTGCCCAAGAGGCCCCCAAGAAGGCCCCAACACGGTCCAGGAGGGTTCCGAGACCGCCCAAGAGGCGCCCAAAACGGCCCAAGAGAGCACCAAGACGGCCCGAAGAGAGACCCAAGAGGGCGCCCAAGAATTCAAAAACTAAATTTTCCGCCGCGAGAGGGCCCCAAGAGGCCCGGAGAGAGAGCCCCATGAGGCCCCAAGAGGCTCCCAAGAGGCCCCAAGGAGCCCCCAAGAGGCCCCCAAGAGGCCACAAAAAGATCCCCAGAACCCCAAAACACCCCCAAGAGGCTTCAAAACTGCCTCCCAGAGGGCCCCGAGAGGCGCACCACGAGATCCCAACACAGCGGTCTCCCCCTCTCATTATCCCTTCTCTTTGTCGTCGCCTTCTTCGTCGTCGTTGTCGTATCAAATGGCGCAGCGAGGCCATTTTTCGTTCAAGCCACCGAAGGACCCAAGAGCTTCTTCTCCTCTTGCTCATTCTCTTCCTCCTCTACCTCCTCCTCCTCCTTCTCCTAATTCCCCGTGATGTTTCATATTCCGCCCCGCCAAAGGTCTAGCAGAAGCAGCTCTCCTCACTCCCCCAAGTCTCTGCTGCGGATTTTTCCGCGACACCTCGGCTGCACCCCAGATATCCACATAATCTGTCCTCTTCATCCTTCTTCTCCTCTTCATCCTCCTCCTCTTCCTCCTTCTCCTTCTCCTCAGCCTCTTCATGTTCCTCCTCCCGCCTCGACTGAGCTTCTCGCAACGCTCAATACAAACCGTCGGGGCCAC